GTACCTTCCCAACACATTAAGGTCTGACGCTTGTGTCCCACAGTGAGTCAAGTTGGGGACCATCTGCGCTTGCTGGAGGCTCAGGAATGGGAGGCCTCTGGCATCCCCTCCTCTGGGCTAGAACTTCCTTTGGCTAACAGTCAGTCCCTGCCCATCCAGCCTCTGGGGACCCAGGGTGACTGAGAGCATTTGTCACTGTCAGCTCGCAGCAAAATATCTCCCACTGGGATCCTGTTCAAAGCCCACCCTTCCCAGAGTAGGAGTTAGGATGGAGGAGGCCTTCAAGGCAGGCTACTCTGTACCTTTTCTGCCTGCCACATGCTTCCAATCTCAAGGCAGCCTGGGGAGGGGCCACACTTTGCTCCCATGCATAGAGCCCCAAGTTTGTACATATTACCCCCAAACACTGGCCCCAGAATAGTATGGGTAGAAGACAGGGTCTCCATTTAACAGATGAGGAGATAAAGGCTCAGAGAGGGGCAGGAGATTGCCCTAGGTCACCTGTCCGTGTGGACAGATGCGGAATACCACAGGGAAGAGCCAAGCTCCCACATGGAGAAAGGGCCAGGTGGGGACGCAGTCAGCCTCATGAACCCTCTCTTCCCTCTCCCTGGGCCAGAGAGACAGAGAGGGAGGGAGCTGTGGGATAGGGCTGGGGGCCTGAGGTCTGCCCCAGGGGCCTGAGGTCTGCCCAGGGGCCTAAGCAGGCCCAGCTGGGTTGGAAGGAGTGGGGAGAGGCAAGGGGTGGTGGGGCAGGGGTGGGACTGATTTCTAAACCTTACTGGTTTAGTACAGCCAGCCAGGGTATTTTGGCTATTTAAATATACAATTAGAAAAATAACAATGTTCAAAGAACCTGAGCAAGACAGAGCCAGGAGTGACCCCTGATGTTATCGACACCAGTTCCCTGCCAAGACTTCAACTCTCCTACCACATCTGCAGCTGGTGGCACCTTGTCACTGCTGGAATACCTCTCCTGACAGGAAGCCCACCACTTCGGGCGCCCTGCTCCAGGCTCACACCACTCTGGCTTGGTGGACGCTATCCCCACTGGCAGAGCTAAGCTGCTCTCTCCTCCTTTCTTGCCTTCATTCCTCTCCTCCTCCCTCTCTTTGTGCTTCCTTCCCTCCCTCTTTCCCTCTCCACACCACATCTTTTGAGCACCACCTTTGTGTCCGATGAGGATACAAACATAAACTCACACGACCTCTCCATTGCTCACAGTCTATTAGGGGAGCAGATACACAACTAGACAACTTTGTCACTGGGACAGATGCTAAGGAAAAACGGAAGAATCGGGGAGGCTTCCTAGAGGAGGCGCTATGAGTTGATCCTAAAGGATGAGCATTTGGGGGGAATTTCCCTTCCTGTGAGTTTCCTAGAAATGACCATTCTAGACATGACTGTGATTTAGGCTGGCCAGGCACAGGGTGAGGATAGAAAGGAGAAGGGCTGGGAGGTCAGCAGGGCTGGATCACGGAGGGTCTGGAATACCAGGCTGAGGACTTGGGCCCTTATCTCATTGTCACAGAAAAACCATCACCAGCCCCAAATCTGGTCTCTGCCATGCAGGATACCATCAAAGCTGTAATTCATAGACAGAAATTCTCTTGTCTTTCATAGTGTTTTTGATTTTCCCTCCTCTTTGAGATCCATTGTGACAGTGGCACTGGGCTGGGGTATGGGCAGGTAGGACAAGGGGCCTGATGGCCAGAGTCTAGCTAAGGCTGGAAAGCTGTAGAGGAAAGAGCATTCAGCACGAGGAAACTCTGCTTAAGGTCTACTTGTGGTCAGCACAGTTTCCAGGCTGCAGATCTTTTCCAGGCTGCAGATCTTTAACTGCCAGAACTGGGGACCCCTTGGGGGCTCCCTGTAGCTCCCTGTCAGCCCAATTCTTATACCTCACTGTGGAGGATGGTGCTTCCTGCCTCCATCTGGCTGCTGGTGCATCAGTCACTGGAGGAAGACCAGGAGACTTGGCCCCTCTGACTTCTCCAGATAACCCCTTGACTGTACAATCAGCTTTCCTGAGAGACAGGGGATCCAGACATGCTGCCCAACCTTAGCAGACATTTGTCACTGTCTACCTGTTTGTCACTGTTAACCTGTTGGGTCTCAGGCCTTTCTTTCTGGCCTGCCTCAAAGTCAAACAGGAAAGTCCTAAGGAGTGTACCCAAAGCTCTCAGAGAAAAGGGGCATTTTATGAAGCTAGGCATATAGAGTGTTTCTGGAAAGAATGTTAGCAGCAGTGGACAGATCATTCTAAAGGTCTGAGAGGCTGCTTACAGAATGGTGGTTCTCTGGAGGATGAGAGAATTTAAGTGCCTCAGCCATGCAGGTTCCCGTGCTCATGCCTCAGAAATTCAGAGACATCAGTCAACAAGTTGAGTTCATTTGACACTCTGGCCAGCCTGTGGTCTGCAGGGACCAGTGAACTTTGGCTCCAGATGTCTGACCCACACTGGCTCTGGCTCCCCTTTGGCACATGTCTACCCAATCAGTCAGTCCAGACATCTTTCTTTATAAAATCGAATGTTTGGTTAAGGGAGACTTTAAAGAACCCCCCAACTTGCCCAGAGGAGAGAGAGGAGAAAGATTGGGACTTGAAGTCAGGAGCTGGGAAGGTATAACCCAGGACCAGGCTGCTTGGCCCCTCCTGATACTGAGTTCCACTAGGCCAGGAAAGGTGAGTAGATTCAGCTCCAATATGGAGCTGGGCATTGTGTGTGCTCAGTAATTACACACTGCATTAGTTTACCCTTTTGGCTCCGTGCCTGGCACAGATCTGGGCACACAGTCAGGTGCCTGGACTTTTTATCCAAATGCTTCATCTTTAATGAACTTCAAGCTCTAACTCAATGTATCTCATGCCATACTTTGCCCCAAACAGAGGGGAATCTGGCCTGTGTGTTTCTAATTCCTTTACACTTATCTCATTCAAATAGCGCTCTGCACGAACCGTTTGATGTCCAACTTCTGAGACTGTTTAATAAGTCAGCTAAACCCCTTCCCTCTCAGAGACAGGAAGTCACATTTTTGCCAAGGATAAAATGACTCCAGCCCTGGCCGGGGTCAAGTTCAGTTTAGAGCATGGTGCCCAAGGGGCTGGCTGGCTGGACCCTCTGAAGCAGAGTGCCAGGCTCCTGTCGGGTCTCATGCTCTAACATGTCCATCAGGGCTGAGCTGAAAAGAATTCAACTGCCTTCCAAGATGCCTGTGGAACCCCTGACCATCCCATGAACTGCCAGAATTGTACTGTCTCAGAGGACAGACAGCTGCCAAGCTGGGCATGATGGCACCGGGCGAGCCTTCCAGGGAAACCCAGGTGTGGTGAGGGAGGGGAGCTCTGGGCTCCCACCCAACTGTGCAGCCCTGGAGAAGCATCTCCCCTCTCTGGGCCCCATTACTCTTATGACCACCTGTCTGGTGAAGGGTCCTTTCTCCTCTCATATTCCAGGACTGTGTGATCAGTGAGTCACCAGCCCAAATGGGGTTCAGGACTGTGAGTCAGCCTACTGGTCCTGGCTCCTCAGCCACCTTGAGGAGCAGAGGGGTTGGGCCAGTCTCTTTGAGGCTCATTTGCCTGCCTGCCCCCATTGGCTGCCCTGTCTCCCCAGGCCCCCATAGCTGTGCCTGACCCCAGCCTCTGATTTGGCAGGAAAGTCCATCATGGGCTCTAGGAATTGACAAGTCGGGGCACAGGACACCTGGCACATGCTGCTGCCAGAGCCCTTTGGCCAGAGGAACTAACCTGAGCCTCTCTGGCTGGAGCGAGAAGCTTGTGCTGGTCCCAGTTGGGTAAGATCTGCCTCCTTTGTAGCATCCCTGGCAGGGAGAACACGGCAGAACATGGACCAAGAGGCAAAGATTGCTTTTGTATCACACTGATCTGGGGCTGCATCCTGGCTGAGGGACCTTTAGCATGTCCCTTCATCTCTTTGGGAGTCTATTTCTTCATTTGTAAAATGGGGACAGTCACATCTCCCAGGGCTGGCATGAGGATCAGTGATGAAATGAGTGTGCAAAGTGCCATCCATGCTGCAGGCTTTGGACAAACGGCAGCTTTCATTGCCACTGTTATTACCATACAACTCTTAGAGGGCCTGGCCCTGATATTGCCCTTCTGTGCCCACTCTGTCCTTCAGCCCCATTTGGCTCAACAGCATATCATTCACCCCAAGTTGGATTAATGACACGAGAACACAGAGGTCTGGATTCACGGCCTCACTTCCCTATTTGCTGCGTGACCTTGGGCAGCCTATCTTGCTCTCTTTGGATCTAATTTAATCACCTGTTATGTAGGGTTGGGGGACAACTTCCCTGGGCACCAACATCTACCCTCTGCCCCACCCCAGTGCTTGGGCTGAAAGCTTACTGAGAGCTCTGCAGGCCAGTTCACAGGCACTCAGGGGGGTCAAAATAGCAGCATTGTCTTCCCTAAAGTATCTTCCCAGGCCCTGGGATGCTTCCAGGGAGGGGAGGACAGTCGGCAGGCATTCAGACCTCTGGCTCCCAAATCCAGCTTTACGAAAGCTAAGTCTGTCCGCTTGCCCCTCCCTCTGAGGTCCCCATGGTGGGACAACCAAACCCATACCCAGGAGGTGTGGGTGATCCAGGAGAAGCCAGCTTGGAGCTACAGTCTGCATGAGGTCACAGATGCCCCAGCAACCTTGGTTTCCTCCTGGCTTACCACTGGAACTAATGAAGGGGTTATAACATAGGCCACATAAAAATAGTTTAATTGGTAGAATAAATACATTTTTCTTCTTTTAATATGGACACATATTTTACAAAAGAGCCCCATAGCACTATGGGAAATTAAGATCCTTCTACAAAAAAGAAGATGTAACTTGGGTAGAATAAAGCTCTAGTGTTCTAACTGACCCCGTCTGGCCTGCCCTTGAGGTGTCGAGCACCCCTGGGAGTGGTGCTGGAGCAGTGGACTGTGGCCGCAGATCCTTGTGTGGCTCAGCTGACTCCTCTGCCCGGGGTGGCCGAGGTCAGGAGGGTCCGAGGCTGTGTAGCAGGAAGGGGGCAGCAATGATGGCGGCGATGGTGGAGAGGAGACCCAGGGCAGGCTGTGAGCAGCTGGGTGCCGAGCTGCTGGCAGGTCCTGGTGGGTCCTGCAGTTGGAGCTGGTCTGAGAGCTGGAAGGGAGGCTTGGTGGTCCCGGTGCTGGGGGTGGGCTGCAGGGGTAGTGGGGGCGGCGAGGCACTGGTGCTAGAAAGGAGGAGACACAGGGCAGTGTGACCGATGGTAACCTTGTCCTGGGCAGAAGCCTTGGGGATCAGCTGTAGCTTTATCAGATCCATTTTTCTCATAAAATGGAGAAGAAAACAAGGGACTCGGGCAGAGAAAAAGAGCAAGCTAGAGCCAGCCAGCCAGCCAGGCTGAGCTCCAGAGGCCACACTGACCCTCCAGTGCCAGGCTCCTGGGGATGGGCCAGGCCCTGGGGGCCACAGGTCTCAAAAGTTACCACTCAAGAAAATGGGTTCCAGGCAGAAAGAATTAATGTGAAGAAGGAGCTAGATCTGGGGCTTCTTGGGGGCTGTCAGCCCTCACACCCACCCACCCAGGTGCCCTGCCCTCCTGCCACTCTCCCCTCCCACACTGCTGACATACACAGAGAACAGAGCAAACGACCCACCATTTTCACAGCCCTTATCTAGTAACCATTATTTACTTAGCATTCACTATCTGTTCAGCACTTTCCTGGTACTTTTGATAAACTTTCAAAATGGGTCTCATCACTTCCTTTCCATAAATAAGAAAACTGAGCTCCGAGAGGCTATGCGGTGGCCAGGTCGTAGAGGACAGTGGGACGGCATGACCCTGGGGCAGGAGTCTCAGCGTCTGCTTCACTTTGCACAACCACGGGTGTGTTTAGTGAAAGTTGAAGTCCTTCATGAATTTACAAAAACAGAATCCGATTTTGGAGGTAACAGGTGAGATTTTGGGTTCAAGAAAGCCTGTGTGACAGAGAGAGGAAAATCTAAGGAAATGAAGCGCAGGCATGAACTGGCAGGCTGACCTGAGCCTAGCACGTGCAGGGAGAAGGTGGCCCAGGTGGGACTCAGCACCAGGTTACTGGCTCAAGTTCAGGAAAGCGACAAATAGGAAATGGATGCACAAAGAGAGAGAGGGCTAGGCAGGTGTAGTTATGGCTAGGCAGGTGAAGACTATGGTGTAACACAGAGGGGCTACCAAGGCAGGAGTCTGCCAGGAGACCTATGAACCAGAGGGATTGGCTTGGAGGTAAAGAAAAGGCTGGGCCCAGAGGCAATGGCCAAGCCTGCCTTTAGGCAGCAGGTACACAGAGGGGACCCTTCCAGTGAGGGCCAGGATGGCCTCCTGGGAGAGGGGACATTGCAGCCCTGTCCCTGGACCCAGTGCAGGGCTAGGAAGGCCTCCTGAGAGAAGCGACACTGCAGCCCTGTCCCTGGACCCAGCTCTGTGCACGGCATTTGTCATACATTGGCCTTGAATCTTCATGACAATACTACGAGGGAGGGCCAGTTGGTATCTCCATTGTACTTAGGACCCAAGGCACAAAGAAGTTAAGTAACTTGCTCAGGGCAGGACACACAGCAGGTCCCGGATCTGGGCACACAGATGCTCCTCTTCAGATGGATGAGCCAGGAGCTTGCCCCTCCCTGGTCAGGGCATGGGATGGGATGGTAGAAATGGGGCAGGGCAGGCCACTCTCCATGGGGTCTGCAGCCTCGGTGCCTCCTGCCTCCGTGTGGGGCACTACCCCACTCCCCAGCACTTGCCTCGCTCTCCGAGAGGCTGCACATTCCTTGGATCTCCCTGGGCCATGAGGCTCTAACAGCCGGCCATAATCACAGTGGTTGGAATCTGTAATCATCACCACCAGAGCTCAGCCCATGCCACTGTCTTGGCCGGACTCCTCTCTCAGAAGCCAGGCTCAGCCTCAGCCCAGAGCACATACCTGCCTCCACAAAGGCTCAGGGTAGGACCTCAGCTTGGGAGTGGACATCCAATGGCACACACCTGCCTCCACAAAGGCTTAGGGTAGGACCTCAGCTTGGGCGTGGACATCCAAATGGCCTTGGAGCACCCAGTGACCCACTGCCCTGGCCCTTCCTCCCTTTCCTACTCTGGTAGGTACTCAGAACACAAGAACCCCTTGGATCCTACACAAGGCTCTTTTCACCTTGGGGTCTATAGGTGTGATGTACCATGATTTCCTGTTCAGCATGAGACTTGAGGAAGTCTCAGAGAAGTTATCAGGAGAGAAGGGAGCAAACTCTGTCCCACCTAGAAGACGTAGGGACAGCATTTCTGAGCAGAGCGTGTGCATGTGCAACCTAAGGGGTAGGCCAGGTGGCTGCCAAGACCCTTCTTCACTCATAAAATCAATTGTGCTTTGCCTCCCACCAGTGCCAGCCTGATGTGACGTGGCTGCCCCCCCACCCAAGTCCTCCCAGCACACACCACTCTCCCAGCCACACCTGCAGCCTTGCTGTTTTCCCCTGGAGAGGCCTACTTTGATTTGTCCTCCAATCCCAAGGCCACCGGGGGTAGTTAAGCCTCCCTCCAAACCTTGTACATTTCTCACTGGCTTCACTGTGCCACAGGTCTCTGTTTATTATACACAGTTTGAATGGGTTTCTATGTGTAAAGTGCTTAGAACAGTGCCTGGCACACAGAAAGTGCTAGATGTAGTTGGCTATTTTTAGCATCATGATTAATATTTTTGTGTTGGTGTCTCTCCCACTAAGCACACCGTCCATTTGTGGAGCACTTACTGTGAGCCAGCAGACCCTGCTTGGTGCTACCAGGGTGTCACTGGATTATTTCCATTTCCAAGATAAGGAAGTTGAGCTTGAAGAGCATTAGTTACTTGCAAGAGACAGCATATCCACAGGGGCAGTCTGTCTTACCCGGGCTGAGCCAAGGTGCAGTTCCTGACGGCAAACTCCGCATGGGGAGCCCGTGAGTCACAGACTGAGGCTTCATCTCTGACATATTGACCCCTGCACAGTGTAAGTCCTGATCCTGAGGGGGTCCCCTTGCACTGTGCAGGGGTCAATATCTCAGCCTCTTTCCTCCTTTTCTTTTCTAATAAAAGAACCCCCCCCAAAAAAAAACTCCCCCAAAGAACCCACATGCAACACAAGAAGTCCATAAAAATTCCTTCCTAGCAGCTGCCCCATTTCAGCCTGGGCTGCTGGGAGGCTTGGCGGCCTGGCTCCAGGGGGGCAGGCTGGTGTTCCCCTTTAGATGCCCAGAGCAGGAACTGGGCTGATCTCAGCCGGCCCCCATCAGAAGGCAAAACCAAGTAGGGGTCTTGGTTCTACATGTCTCCAAGTAGGATTTGTGAAAACTAAATCTCACAAGGCGCCCAAAAGTATTTTCTTTCACACTTTGAAAATCAAAGCTGAAAACTCCCCCTTGGAGCTTGCACAGGGTTTTTATTGCTTAGGAGTCTCCGGAAATGGGGTAGGACTTGGGAGGCAGAGGACCAGACCCTCCAAATACCTGCCCCCCACCTCTGGCTCACTTTGTTCCCAAAGCTTAGTTCCCCAGTCCAGATCCCCACCTCCTCCCAGGCTCACACTGGGGAAAATTGTCTCATGGCAAAGCAGCCTTGAAGCCAAACCAAACACTGTGCGTGTTTCCAGGCTCCGCAGCTGGCTGGCACCAACGGGCCGAGTCTGCTCTGAGTCGACTGGGACCCTCAAAGGGGGAAGAGCCTTTCCACCTGAGCAGAGGCACAGGCCCTGCTCTAGCCTGTACAATGTCCCTCGTTCACTATGTGACTTTGAGCAAGTGCTGCCCTCTAGGCCTCAGTTTCCCCATCTCTGCAATGAAGGACTTTAAAATGTTTCCAAGCAGCACAAGCCAGAGTCAGGTCTAAAGTGGAGGCCCAAGCAGAAAGCACAGAGAAGCAAGGTTGATGCCTGTGTCGCTGCCAGCTGTCTCCCTAAAGTCCCTAGAGCAGGTCTCCTTGAACCATTCAGGGTTAGGTTCTGGGGGTCTCAGGCCTTGGCCTTCTGGCCAGTACAAGGTGCTGGAGGGCTATGCCCTGTGTGACATCCTTAGAGAGCTTCAAGAAGACATAGGGGAGGCTGAGTTTGAGGCACCCAGAGCCTAGGTGATAGAGCCCTTGATGTAATCCGGCTGGAGGATCCTGTTGTGATTCTGGCCTGGGCCTCAGACTCTTTGGGCCAAGCAGGTCAGCTATAGAGGTCCAAAGCACCCAGTTTGCCTGTAGCTCCAGATCTCTAGGGCCCTATCCACCTCCACACCTGTGTACACCTCATCTTCTGGGTTAGGGATGTCCTCACCTCTCTCCTGGGCTCATCAGGCAACTTCTGACCAATTATTTCATGGACACAAGGCAGACTGTCTGGAGTCTTTTCAAATAGCTTCATAACAGACCAGAAGTAGAAGGGCCTGTCTGTCCCTGGGATGGAAATCTGGGTCCCAGAGAGGAGATGGGACTTGCCAAGGTCACTCAGAAGAGCGGAGGCAGAGTCTCTGGACTGTGGCTCCAAGGCTCTCTCAGTCGCACCATACTGGGAGCCAATTGTCCCTGGTTATGATCTAAGACTCTTCTTGCTCCTGTCCCTCACCAGCACTAAACACGGCATCTACCCAACGTGTTCCTGTCAAGCTATGGGGGGTTCACAGCACCCACCCAATGGCTGAGCAGCTTCCTGCTGGGGCACAGACTGAAAGTCACAGGCATCAGCACAAGCCACACCATTACCAAGACTTACTAGAGTCTGATGTCAGCTGAAAGCTTACAAACACCATTTCTCTTGCTCTCTAAGCCCCAAAGCAAGTATGGGGAGGGGCTGGGTTTGAACCCCTACTCTTCCTGAATTTGTCTGCTTTTTCTCACTGGGTGATTCTTCTTTCTATTTCTCATGGGGCATTTTCTGCTTCTAATTCAATGGAGTCTGGGCCTCACGTGGAGACTCTGACCATCCCTGACCCTCCCAGAAGAAGGCCTGGTCACACTGGGAGGAACCAGATCTTAAGAAATTGGGGGCACAAAGAGCAGGCCAGCAGGGGGTGTGCAGAGCCACCCTACCTTAGGAGCAGGAAGTCTGTGTCTCCGCCCCTTTTTAAAGGCCCTGGCCACCTGCTCAAACCGCAGGAGAAACAGGCTCAGAGGGCAATGACCCCTGGTACATGTGTGTCCTGCAGCCCCACCTCTGCATCGTGGCACCCACGAAGGCTCTGTGTTCCACTTCTGTGCTCTGCTTTGGGTCATGCCCAGCTCTTGGAAGACACTCTCTTCCCAACACCTGCCCATCAGGATTGTCCTTCCAATCAGAGTGCCTCGCCCTCTGGTCTCTCATTTATGTAATGCCCCCCTTCCCAAGCCAAGTGTGGACTTGGAGAACAAGAGCTGGCATGACCTCCAGAGAGCAGTCAAAACCCTAACTGCACCAAAGGAGAAGCTGAAGGCTTGCCATGGGTCTCCTGTTGCATAGAAATAACCTCTGTCCTGGCTTGTCCCTGGCCACAGCCCTGTCTTGCCCCGCCTCTGGCTCTCAGATCTAGAGGAACGCTCTGCCACTGCTCAGACACATGCTCCACCCTTTCCATGGGTCCCCATAAATCATTCTGCCATGGGCTGCTGCTTCTCTAAACTTCCTCTGGTGTGTGTTTACATCTCGGGTAATGAGGGGCGAGGGAGGCCAGCCTGCTCTAGGTGGTGCCGGGCCAGGCATGAGCAGGCCGCATCCCAGGCTCTCTCCCTCCTTCTCCCATTCATTCTGGCACCCTGGAGCAGTCCAACTGAGATCTGGCCCCCAGAGAGGGTGGGAAGGGTAGACAGTGGTAGGGGATGATGATGGGGAGCCCCCACATTAGGCCTGGACGCCTCTCTGTATGGTCTCTCACAAGCAAGTTACCCAATCTGCCGGGTCTGTCCCTTGTATAAAACCTTCTGTACTTCCTGACAGGAATACAGGGGCAGTGGTGCCTGGTATAGTGGGGGAACTTGACTAATGTCCACTGGCACCCCAGCCCCAGGTGAGAGAGGAACCTGGAGAGGTTCAAGGGCTCTGGATGAGGTGGGGAGGGGACGGCCTTTTATGTGGCAGAGGCACTGCAGGATCTCAGGCTGATGGGTGATGCATGAGGGTGAGACTCGGGGGCAGGAGACCCTGAGGATTCTGCTGTAGGATCACAGGTGTTAGATGTGGTGGCAGAGGTGACAGGGGAGGGGGCGCACCAGTGGGGTTTAGGAGGTAGAAAATGAGAAAAGTCGGAATGAAATTAAAGCTCTAAGGAAAGTGGTCTTATTAAAAGAGCTATAAATGGGCCCCAGGTAACCCCTGGAGAGGTCTCCTCTGCTCCCTCTCAGAAAAATAGAAACTTAGGGATCCCATGAGGGTACAGTGAGTCCCCCAGGAACAACAGCCCATACTTTGCATCTGGGCCTCTCAGGGAGCTCAGGGCCTCAGGGCCTGTTTCCCCAAGAAGCAGTGAGAAACTTAACCACCAAGCTGCCTGTCCACGGAAACTTTCTTCTGCAACTCCAACCAGATGGAAGAAAGTTTGCCACCCGCTATTTACCTGTTGGGATGGAGAAGGGGCTCCCTTCTTGCCAAAGAAAAGCTATTTTCTTCTCCTAAAATCTGGCTCTGTGTTTCTGAACTACATGTTGTGAGAAGGAAGCCCTTTGGAGTCATTTGCAGAAATTTACCTTTCAGACGTGGTTAAGGGTTGGGGGTCTGTGGCTGGGGGTGACAGCCCACCTCCTGTCACCCCATGAGTTGGCCCCACCATTGGCCTCATCTCTTGGTCTCCTGGCGTGTTGATCAGGGCTCTGAGTGACCAGCCTAATTGGAGCTCTTAATGGGCTGCCAGCACCTTCATTTGCCCCAAGCCTCCCTGGCAGCCTGCAAGCCCTCCCCACTGCTGAAGGACGTTGTTCTTGGTAACTCATGCCCTCGCTCCCAGTTGGACAGGGGCAGCCCATGCTGGGTGCATGACCCAAATGTGTCATAGGCAATATATCTTTAGCAACGCCTCTGCCTTGGGAAGGCAGGGCTGGTGAGGGCTCTGCAGAAGTACATATCCCAGTAACCCAAATCAGGCACTTTGAAACCAAAGCCCAAGGATCAATGAGCTTGCCTTTTACCACCAGATAGGATAAGAACTTACCATGCACTTCATGATAGTGGGCTGGACTACATGCACCTTTTATTAATGGCTCAGAGACCTGACTATAGGGAATTCATGAAGTGCAAAGTGCAAGAGGCAGCTCCTGACTCCTCATGTGACTCTGGGCAAGCCCGCTCCCACTCTGGGGCTTGGTTCACCATCTATAAAGGCAGAGCTGAGTCAGTGTTTCCCGAGGTGTTTCCCAGTGCTCAGAAGAATCTCCAGGTGCACATTCAACAGCCAGATTCCCAGGCCTCTGTCCTGCAGATTCTGAGGTCTACAGCAGGACCTGGAAATTTGTTTATTGAACAAGTACCCATTGTGATTCTTTCCAGGTTTACTAAGGAACGTCCTGGATGGTGATCTTCAAAGGGTCCATATGCAGACTCCAAGACTCCCAGGGCCCAATACTGGGAGTGTCATGTCCAGGGCTGGGCCACCCTTTCACTTACACCGTGCATCATTGCCAGTGCTCTGGCATCACTGTTCCCCAAATGTGGACATTCCTGCCTTAAAATGGAATCTAGAGAGACTGCTCTGTTTTGAAACCTTTAGGCCAAGGTCTAAAAACAGCATCCTGGGAATAGCAGGAGCTTTGGTGGCAAACAGGCAAGGGAGGTGGTGCAGACTGCTGGCGGGGTATAGAGGAAGAAGACAGAGGGGTCTTAGTACATTAGAATAATTTCTGTGCCTGCCCATTTTCAACTAGGTTTTATCACAAGTCTTCCATCCACTTGCAAGACAGAGCCCACAGCATCAAGGGCTTGGTTACTATCTGTCCCAACTCTCTTACAGAGCAGTGTCCCTGCTGCAGCCTCCTTGCCATGGCCTCATCTATCCAGACTTCCAAGACCCAGGGAACCCCTGGCCTTTTGGCACAGCCAGGCTGCTCCATTTTCTCCAAGTTTCACCTCCAGTCCGTGAGACAACTGGAGCCCACTTTGCACACACCAGGGGCATCCCAGGAAAGCTAAATGCAAAGCAGACTTCTGTCCACTGCACCTAAAGCAATGGTTCTCAACCTTCCTAATGCTGCGGCCCTTTAATACAGTTCCTGTGGGTCTCGACCCACAGCTTGAGACCTGCTGATCTATAGGAAGCTTCTTTCAAATGCAGAGAATTATCCTTTCTCTTGTTTTGAGAAAACAGAAAGATCAGATGTGAACGTGCTGTATAAACCCTGCAAGGTGACCTTGAGGCCCCTCTGTGAGCAGCAGGAGCCAGCCCTATAGTTTCCCCGCAGATCCCCACCTGCCACGCTTCCTCAGGGCTGGCCTGGCCTGGTGACAGCCTGCCCAGCTGTGGAGGGCCCAGGTAGGCCGCCAAGGGCAGGCACCCTGGCGAGACCTGCCTCCCACTCACCTGTCCTCAATTCGGACCCAGAGGTCGTTGAACTGCCGGGGCCGCTGGTGCGTGCTCTGCCTCTTGTGCCACTTCCTCTGCCGGCCAAACTCCTCCAGCTGGCTGAGGCTGTCAGGGAGCAGGAGGTGTGGGGACAGGGCTGGGTCCTCCTCCTCCTCTGGCAGGGCTGTGGGGGTCGCTGAGGGCACTGTGGGGATGGCGGTGGCTGGAGTTGCCGGGGCCGGGCTGGTCGAGGTCCCTTCAGGAGTGGGCACTGGGCTCTGGGTGGCAGGGCTGGAAGGGAGCACACGGAGTACACACGTTGGAGCAGGCCATTCGTGTGGCGGGGTTGGGGGGAGAGGGACAATCCAGTGCGAAAGTTGTCATGGCAGGAGAAAATGCCAGGGTGCCAGACCTGGTGACAGTAACCCAGGAGAGCCATTTTTTGGAGCTGAGAGATGGAGCTTTGACTCATCCTTTCATGTATTTAGTCAATAAGTATCTACTGAGCCCCTCCTTGCTCCAGACGCTTGTCTAGGAGGCAGGTGCCAGCATAACAGAAACAGACATCACCTCTGCTCTCCAGAGCTCGTATTCTGATGCGGAAGACAGAGAGTGAAACGGAGGATGGTAGGTGGTGATAACTGCCAAGGATGAAATGGAGCAGACAGGTGTGAGAGCACGGATTGGGGCGTGATGATCAGGGGTAGGTGGTCTGATCAGTGGCAGATGACATTTGAGCCAAGACTGGCAGGAGGCGAGGGAGCAAGCCCTGGGCAGGTCTGTGGGGCATGTATGATCTTGGTTGGGGTCCCAATCATTCAACAACTGTGGCGTAAGGACTTTAGGTGAGTTCATAACTTTGCTGTGCCTCAGTCTCTTGCTCTGGAAAATGGGGGTACCATAGCAACTACTGCAAGGACACATTTACCGTGTACCTTCTCAGTGGAAGCAGGGCAGTCTTATGGACTCAGAGCCTGAGCTGGAGGTCGACTGATGTGGGTTCACAGCCTAGCTCTGAAATGTAAGACCATGTGACTAAGAGCAAGTGACTTAATGAGCTCGGCAGCAGCTGGCTATAGAACGGAGTAATAATACCATCTGCTTCATTGTCACGAGGATGTATGACATGAGGTCTGAGCACAGTGCCTGGCACATAAGCCTCTCTTTGATGTTGGCCAACAAGAAGATAGACCTGAATGTCAGGCCACTAAAATGCCATTTGTGCCATTGCATTCAGAGTTACACACATGTGCCTCCTAGCCTGGGAACATCCTCTACTTATCTCCCTCTGAGTCTTTCCTCTCTGTGGTCCCAAGAGAATTCCTTTTGGGGCCATCTGACCCTGGGAAGAGGATAGGGAATGGCTTTGGGAATTGTGTCTGAGTGATGAGGTAGTACCCAAGACAGCAAGTGGCCTGCCTTCCCAGTCCACTCTCATGCTGCACGATGGGCGAGGAGCTTCCCCTTCTTGATAGAAAAAAGGGCATTCTCTCAGCCTCTGCTGCCTCAGCTCCCATGGCAACCCCCAGATTCCTAGGATCCAGGCTGCCAGGAGATGCGCAGCTGCTGGAGAGATAATTTAAAATAGTCAAACAAAAAGAGAGATCCAGGAAGCACCTGTGGCCAGGGCCGGCTTTTATTGTTGGAGCCCCCTAAGCACCCCTGTCGCCCCTACCCCGTCAGCTCTCCTGCTCTCCTGTGCAGCAGACTAAGGCTGAGAGCCCTCAGAGAGAGCCTGCAGGGGAGTCGCAGGAGCCCCCTGCTCTAATGCCCGGGCTCTGAGATGAATAAGTTCTCCAGCCTCAGCAGCCAGCCTGCCCGCCTCCCCTGCCCTCGCCTGGCCAGACACAATGGCTTCAAGGGGAAGGTCCTTGGGGATTCCAGGTTGAGGGTGAGGGGTAGAGCTAGGGGAGAGAGGGGAACTTAGGAATGCCTTATCCCCAAGGCTACCTTGGAACCCTCATCCCTCAGGCACTTGCTCCCCCCTCCCCCGCTCCTGCCCTCATCCCTGATACAAACTGATTTGTGCTGGGCTCAAATAGATTAGGCAGGAAGAGCAGTGTTGTCATTCTGACTCAGAAGATGAGAAGAGATGGGAGGCTGGGATGGAGCCCCAATGTGCGGGCTTATAAGGTCCTCTGGAAGTGCCACAGAGCCAGGGAAGACCTAGGAAGTTGGTGGCTCAGTGCTCTGGAGGACCCCAAAGCCTTGCCTTTCTCTAGGTGACCCAGGCCTTGCCTCTGAAGAGCAAGGTCTCAGTCATTTCCAAAGTCCCCATTCCACTCCACCTCCAGAAGGAGTATAAGGTGTGGCTAGGAGCCCAGGCAGGCCCCAGAGCCACACCGCCACTTACACTGTGTCCTTCTGCAAATGACTTGACCCCTCTGGGTCTCTGGCTTCTCGGTGGTAAGTGGTTACTCACAGATCCTACTGTGCAGGATTGTTGTGAGGATTGCAAGTTAAAAACACTTAGAGCCCAGTACAATGTGAGCAGCCAGTAAATATTGGCTATGATTATTCAAGCTTCTTTCAAACTCTGGGTTTTCTAATGTCAGGGATGGGGGCTGGAATCACTGTGGCCACCCTGCAGGCTGATGAGGAAGGTTCCTGCATTATGGCTGGGACATGGACCACACTGAATCCCCCCAGGCTGCCCAGAACCTGAGCCAGCTCTCAGTTGACACTTCCGTCCTACCCAGCCTGGTGATGGTGCTGGCACTGTGGACCAGCAGAGGTTCTGAGCTGGTCCCTGTCCTTGGGCAGCTCCCAGACTGTTGGGGGGAGGGCAGGAAACACTACAGGAATAGAGGAGGGCTGTGGCAGCTCCCTGAGCACAGTGGATGGGCCTGGCAGGAAAGCCAAGGGGAGGGCATGGCAGGAGGCAGCGAAGGAGAAGGCTCAACCCAAGGGAGAGGCCAGGCAACTGCTCATCTTCCCTCACTTCCATCTCCACTAAGGGCTAGAGGCAGCCCCCCAGTCCTCCAGGCTTCATTCCCCCCAACTCTACCCGACCTGTCTTCAATCCTAAGCATCCCTGCAATCTGAATACTGCACCCACTGCTATGCCTTGGCCCTGTGGATACCTCTGGTCACATGGCTCATCAACCTCCTTCCCCATCTTCTGCCTCCAGTCCAGCCCCTCCACTCGTGGTGTCTGGTCATACCTGCCCCTTGTGGCCCCACCTCACCAGAGGTTTCTTCATGGCCCCCACACCCTGGGTCTGAGCAGGAGGTTTGTGGCCAGGCAGGGCCAGGCAGCCCCCAGACACCCCAGAGGCTCCACTACTCACCTCTGGATGGCCTCCCCTGCAGGTGTGTGGTCCACCTCCAGCCCTGCCTGCCGCAGGATGTCTATGACTGTGTTGTTTCCCAAAAAGTGACCTGGAACACAAGAGACAGTGCAGGCTTAGCCACATGCCAGGCCACCAGCCACCGTGGACAGCCTCAGGCCATCCCAGTGTGTATCTGCACCAGTGACCTACATCAGAGTCAAGGCCCCAGACTCCCTGAGAGGCAGCGTGGCACAGTGGACAAGAGTAGTCCTGGTGTCACCCTGCCTTGGTCCAATTATGGCTCTGCTGCTCACTAGCTATATCTCCTCATATCTCAGTTCCTTCATCTGTAAAGTAGGAATGATTGGAATAGCAAGTTGCAGGGTTTGTGAGGATTATAGGGAACAGTGGCCTGAAGTAAGGGCTCCCAGTGCCTCCCATTGCATTACTGTGCCTCACACCACTTGGACACTCCTGATTCTCCAGGCTTTCAGGAGTCACACAAGGCCAGCTCCCAAAAGCCCTCAAGCCCCCAGCCAGTCAACAGCTCATCTTCATAAGACCTCCCTCCCTTAGCATGGGAGGGAGGTATGTCCATGTAGGTCTCCTCCCTAGGATCCCACAGGGCAAGGACTATACCCTATACCACCACTGCCCTGCACAGGCTCTGCATATGCTGCTGGACCCCAGCATTCATATATTCATCTACCCACCATTTACGGAGCACACCCTATGTCCCAGGTCCTGGGATGGCCACTGAGGACTGATTGAGGGGTAAGATCCTATTGGTAAGACCAACAAAACTCCACTGATTACAGGGTCCAGTAGATACTGACAGTGGCCTAAAGGAGGTACCAACACAGAACTGAACTCTACAGAGGTGTCGGGGTTGGGGGGGCAGGGCTGGTCTCATCTCATGCCGTTACCCACACCTCACTCATTCAATGAACATTTATGACACACCTGTTCTGTGACCAGTTTTGTGCTAGGCACTGTCAATAAAGAAATGAATCAATTTAGTCCAGAGGCCCAGAAGAGTGGAAATTGGCCTCCTTCCTTGGGATGCAGGCGCAAGGTCTGAGAGCACAGGGGAGGCCAATGACTAGACTCAGTCGCTGCTGGGAGTCAGCACCCACAGATGCTCCTCTGCCTCCTTGGTCTTGGTCTCCTCCACCTGCTCTGATGTGGACAGAGCAGGGAGGCTGGGTGCTTGCCCAGGGCCCCTGGGGCCCTCCCAGCTGTGGGTCTGCTGTGCGGCCCCACTCACCAGGGCAGCACTCTCCCCTCCTGCTCACTGTTCATCCCAGGCCCTGGGGGGAAATGCCTGCACTATTCCTCTAATTGCCTGTGACAGGTGGTGACAGGTGGAAGGCGAAGGTCAGAATGCTGACAGCCCTGGGGAGGTCTAGGAGAACAGAAAGCCGACAAGTCCTTCGGGAACACAGACGCTCCTGACAGATGCAGCCAGGCTGGGACCTCACAATGGCCAGAGCAGAGGGGCAGACCTTGCAGCCCTCTGGCCTGGCCAGTCTCGTTGCTGGTTTCATGACTCCCTAGGAGGACCCCCAGCACAAGACCTCCATCTTGCTGGCCTGTCATAGTTCTTGGAGTCCCATTTGTGGATCACTGGGAAAGATCACTGGGCTGGGAATGCCAGAGAGGTGCAGTCCGCTTCTACTATACTCACTCTGAGGCCTTGGACACTCAGGTACTGGCTTTCTCACTGTGTAAGAGGGCAGATTGTGTTGCTTAATGCCTGTGGGCTCTTCCAGCTCTCAGAGTCTGTAGGGAAGGTTTTTGTTTGACTCCAGGGACCCTAATGGGGTCTCTGCCCTTCCTCCTTCCCTTTCTTTCCCCACCTGCTCAATGATTTGTTTACCAATCACCAACTGAATGCTTATCTTACCCGACAGCAGTAAAAAGTAAGGTCCTGTTCCAGGCGCTCAGAGCCACCAAAGTTAGGCTCTCAGGACCCAGGCACTAAGTCCGATGCTGAAGGAAGCACAGGAGATTGAGGGGGCCCACAGGAGGCATGTACGCCACCCTGCAGTGTGGGCAGACTTCCTGGAGGGGGCATTGCCAGCTGCAGGGTGGGATGAGAGCTAGCCAGGTGAGGATGGGAGTGGGTCACCCCAGGGTGGGTGGCGGGTGGCGTGTTCCAGGTAGGGAACAGCAAGTGCAAAGGCCAGGAGGTACACAAGCCATGTTTGGGAGGCTAACGTGAAAGAGATACGGACAACACAGCCATAAACAGGCCCTTCCAGGGTTGTGGCCCTGACTCAGTGCTATTGAGGACAGAAGACCCAAGCTCCTGCCAAGGCTCTGAGTCTCCCCTTCAGCCTGTGATCCTGATCAAGCAACTTCCCTGACAATAGCCTCAGTTTTCTTGTATGTCAAATGGGCCCACAACCCTTTGCCTGACTCCTTGGGGTAGCACTAAAGGCCTTGAGGCAGGAGGAGTGACTGTCCGTTGGAAAAGCCTAGATGCAGTCCCAAGTGATGTGTGAAGCCAGCCCCAGGCAGGGCAAGAGTCACCCCCACTCTGGCTTGCCCCCACAGCATGCACGATCAGGCGGGATGGCACGGGGCATGGCAGCCTCCAGCACACAGGCTGCAGGAACGCTCTGCCAGCAGCTCTTGGACTCCACTCCTGGCAGCAAAGGCAATTCTTTCTCTGCCTCCGTGGAGACGTGTATAAAGATATGTCTTCAAGGCCCAGCAGTGGTCCCGGTGTCTGTCCAGAGGATTTCGTGAGCCACCAGGGAAAAAAATCCTTGCCTTGGGCTATATGAGAATAGCAGCAAATACTTACTGGCTGCTGGGCAGCTGCTCCTGAAGGAGCCTTTCTGGGACTGCATGGACAAGACACTCCAGGGGCCTGACAGTATAGGCCTCAGGGGGCACCTGCCGAACTCCAAGCACTGTGTAGGTACGTCTCACCTGTCTGCTGAGGGCTCCCATCCTTCCCCTCAACCTGCTCTCCTAAGACTCTAAATGGAAGACTAGATACTTAGAGAAAATGAAAGAAATCGGGAGTAATCTTTTCAGCTTCCCATTCTCTCCTCTGAGCTGCACCTCCCTTCCTCTGCTTTCCTCCACAGCAGGGAGAACGGTGTCTGCCCCTCTCCCAGCCTGCCCTTGCACACTCCAGGAGGCGCCACTCCTGGGTGGCTTGTCCCTAGAACTGTATGGTGCCATCTGTGTCATGTTCCCCCACCTGCCCTGTCTGCAGCTTGGTTCCATAGCACCCACAGTGGGGCTGGCAACATCTGTAACTTGCCAGGTGCTCTCGACCCCATTCTGCCTTGGTCCTCTCTTTACTTCTCTCCCTGCCTGGTCTGTCCTCCTGGTGGGCTCCTCCTGCCCAGTCAGCCCGGGAGCCCCTGGAAACCTTGCCCTTGGCCCACTTCTCACTTCACTCATACTTCATGGACAAATCACCTATCCTGATGGTTTCAATTACCATCAATCTGACCACTTGGTCTGGGCACCTTACCCTTAAGGCCATCTGTCCAGTGGCCTACTGGACATCTCCATCTAAACATCTTCAAAACTTACAAAGTCCAACACATACCCCTTGCCAAGGACGCCTTGTGTCTTAACCAAGCTCTGCTGTCCAAGCTCAGTGAGCCTTGTCTTGACTCTTCTCCCTCCTCATCCTCATCCAGTCAGTCCCGAGGGTCCCCCGATATTGCCTTCTAAATGTGCTGCTGGACTCTGGACCCGGTCACATCACCTGTAGCCTGAATTGCTGCAGAACTGTCTTCCTGGTTCTCTGGAGTTCACCCTCCTCCCTGCAGCTGAAGTGATCCTCTCACACCCCAGAGTGGACTGTCAGAATGTGTTCCTAACCAGCCACCTGGCGGGGGGGGGAGGGGGGACTGCGAGCTATTCCAGGGCAAGGGCCATGCCTGATTCATCTCTGTCTTCATAGCTAAGCCCAAGTCCAGCATGCAGCAGCAGCTCCATGAACGTTTGTTGAATGAATGAGTGACAAAACCTGTTACTCCATATCCTTTCCATGATCTCATCCTAACCCCAGGGGACCTGAGCTCCTAGGTCTCCTCCTGTGACTCAGCCCCACCCCTTGGCAATGCTCCTCCAAACTCCACCAATCCCAGGAGCTCGGCTGTTGGACCAGCCCTTGAGAGTGCGCCCAGTGCATGCTGTCCCCAGGGGCTGGCAGACAGGCTTAGGCTTGCCTCCAAGGTCAAAAATCCTGGAAGAGGCACCACACCCATCCTGGAACCTGCAAGGAAGGTCATGGAAAGTCTCCAAGGGGGCCCCTCAGTGTTGGGGCTTAGCCGCATGGCTCGCCCAGGCTCCCCGGGTCTCCTGGCCACGGCTCAGAAGCTCCTTCCAGCACTGACAGCTGTTCTCTGGCCAGCTCTCTGCAGGAAGACACGTTCCATTTCATCTGCTGAGGCTGTGTGGATGAGCAGAGGAAGGCAAGGGGGATCATGGGGGTGGGGCACAGAAAGCCACGGAGACAGAGAGAGCTAGGGAGAAGGGCAAAGAGACACTGGCAGAGAGGACCACAGAAGAGAAGAAAGCACAAGGACCAAGGAGACAGAACAGAAAAAAGAACAGGGAGACCGGGAGGCAGGGGCCCAGAGACAGGCAGCAAGAGACACAGAGACAACAGTAGGGAGAGTGGGAAAGGGACAGACACTGAGACGAAGAGAGAAACAAAGGAAGAGATAAAGACAGGGAAAAGAGATACAGAGACAGAAATAGAGAAGGAAGGAGAGAAAGGGAGAAAGAGAATCCAGAAATGAAAACAAAGGGCATGGAGGAGGAGACATTAATTCACTGAGGACAGCAGGGAAGCCTTCCTGGAGGAGGGGGCTCCGGTAGTGGGCACTCCCAGGATGGGGAGAATTTCAGATGGAGATGCAAGAGAAGGCAGGTGCAGCAAGGAGAAGCAAGGCCTGGAGGGGGGTTGGGTCTGGCCTGGTGCCTCTCTCCTCTGAAAAAACCAGATTCTCCTTAAAGAAAATTTGTACACGTATAGGAAAAGTTATCCTGCTTTGCAGAGTGCAGCCCCCATGATATTTTAGTGCAGAAGGCTCCTTTCTTTCTGGTGCAGCCAGGCCCGTGCTAGGGCTC